TTGAAAGGAACCTAGGTAGGACGTACACATAATTTTGATGGGAGACGAGTTAATAAGATGTGGCTGGAGTCTAGGGTACAAATTGTGGAGTTCTGTAGCTCAGTGGTTAGAGCACTCGCCTTGCAAGTGAGACACCTGGGTTCACTTCCTGGCTGGGCAAAACCTTGGGGAAGTTTCCTTACTCCACACGCCTAATAATAATCCCTCCAAAACAAAAAATAATAAATTGGTCATTTTCAATCCACGACTGTTTGTGGGACACTGCTGTGCGCAACTGGCTGCTGCGTTTCGCCCACAAATATACTGTCAATTCACTTTAGTCTATTCTGTGAAGCGCTTTGAGACGTCGAAAAGACGTGAAAAGCGCTATATCAAATGCAAGGATTATTATTATAATTCCACAAAGAGCAGAATTGCAAAGGTATGTAGAGCAAGCACATAAACAATGAGTCAACCCATCCAACTTCCTGTTAGGCCTTCTAGCCTAACCATCCATCTTCCCATTGGTCGAGTTTGCCCTGTAAACAGAAGGACAAGCTTTGAAGATGTGCAGTAAGTAACTGACCTCAGAATTATTGAATCTGAGAGTGAAGTCGGCACCAAAAGGGCCAAGAATCAGTCATCTCCTCTAAGAGAGATTTTTTTTCCAGGAAAAAAACCAAACTGAAATTCTCTAACTAGATCACAATCTTAGGAAGGTATTCCTGGTTAGCTGTCATTCTATACAGTACATAAATCAGCTGACTACTTAACTGGATTATTACATTGCGATTATTACTCTCCAGGGTATCATTGATCAATGTAAACCAGAGACAACTGATCAGATTCAGATTAACAATGCAACATCATTAGAAACTGCAACACAAACAAGATTAAATACAGTCACCCATCAAACGTGGAGATGCAACCCTGAATTCCAAGTGTCATAAAGTGACCTACTGAAGTGGCCACTTATCAAAAATATCTAGATTTCTGTCAAATCTAAGTTTGCTCCTGCCACTACTTTTGCTCTGGTTCATTCAAAACGACATTCAACAGTGTTGATTTACAATCTGTAAAATGCAGTACAAACATGCACGCTATTGCACTGAGCACTCCCAGAATAGTTAGTGCCATCCCAAATTTTCAGATGATCTTCATTCAATGCAAACTCTGCCTATTCCACTCAGGAAGTATACAGTCACCACACACTGTCTGGCCTATTTGGGTGAGAAAAGTGGGTGGAAGTTGCCTCTTGTGCAGCAGCTCACATCCTGAGGAACACGGTCACAAATGAGTCTCTACCCTTTAAATTAAACCTTGTGAAATGATTTGAAACATCATACTGACGACAAAGACGCTGTATCAAATGCAAGGATCATTATTATCATTTTAACAGACACCAGAGTCCTCCAAGTAATGTTCAAACAAATAAAAAGCTGGCATTAGGTTCCTTTTTTAGTAGCTCATAAATCAGCCACACTGGTTCTTTTGTCACAAGCTGCACCTTGTATTTTCTAAAAGAAACATGTTAATTGTGCCAGACTTTTTTGCAACCAGGTGATGACGAGTTAACTCTTTGAACATTGAATTATACTTATGAAAGTAATTTAGCAACCGTAGATTATAGATGCTCATTCAGATTCATAATCTCATTAAAAAACATTATTAGATACCAAAGCATTTATACACATTAGTAGCCGCTAAGTAAACTGAGAACTGGTTAGATTAAGTGTAAAATAAAATGATGTTTGAAGGGAATTTGCACTTCAGCACCACATGTAGAGGCATGCCCTCCTGACCAAAGCAGATCACACAACCTGATAGTTTAAAAACATGTCACTAAGAGAAAAGCTCTGAGAATCAATCCATTGCTTGATGGAGTGATTCTCAATGTGTGATCAGATCTATGAAGTATGCAAATAATAGATGTTTCATTCTTCACATCTCACCATTAATAAAGTGGGAGAATGAACACATCATAGTTGCTACTATACAGATAATTATTCATCATCACCATTGCAAGCAATGCACTGGTTCTCTTAGATGAAAAGGCATGACCGCAAACAACAAGTGACAGGGAGGAAATGCATGACTGAAGACAAATATTTCTCCAAACAGCGAGGACATTTGACCATGAACAAACCAGAGAGATAACCCAGAAACGGATAAGATGACTTAATTTCAAAACGGCAGTTTTAACTTATTATTTATTGCCTTTAAACTCACTGATCTGATAGTCAACATAGGTGTAAGGATGGAAACTAGGTGTAAATCCCGTCAACTATTACAGTATTCTCATTGTCATTAATTCAGCATTAGGAAGTTTCTCTGCCTGGAAAGGTACCGATTTTGATTAAATTGGAAACCAGAGTTTCAAAGACAAAATGCTGAAGAACTTTCAAAGTACCACTATATTGCGTTAAATTTATACTAGAGGGTAAAATTCATAGCAACAATTGTTTTTCTGCCTACTTAATTATCCCTTCCCTGCCATCACTGATCTATGGAGACATCCTGAGAAGTCAGCTCAGCTTTGGCCAAAACACCACTGGAGGGATTTTGCAGATTTCTGCCTTCAAGAGGAAGGATGAAAATCTCACTAAAGATGGGCATTTGTGCCTCTGAAGACAATGGTATTCGTAGCACTGCAAGTTAAATGCAGTATATTGGTATGTAGTTTAACCTGTCTGGATTTCTACACTTCCATCAAAGCACATTTGAGAGGGGTGGTGGAGAGAAAGAAATGGAATACATAAACATTGAGAATGCCAAGAATAAGCAGCATCTTGTTCATTCTCCAGAGATCTTTTCTCCTCTTTGCTTCAGTGTTGAAGTGTTTTCGGACCTTATCCATCACATTTCCTTCCCTAATTGCTCTGCTCCTACTCTAACTGATCCTTGTACCCCAGAACAAGTGAAAAGCCAAATCCTGTTTTTTCAAAAGGAGAAAGTACAACAAATGTTTATTAAATTCTCTTATCAATATTAATGTTATGAATTAAATTCAAGTGCAGAATCATGTAATATACACAGGTGCTCAGGAAACATTCTGGACTGCAGTGTATCTTAAGGGCTTCTCCTCTTCTTGCAAGCAAACTCCCACCCAAAAGCTTCACACAGCAGTTATTTATGCATTCTGTGCAAGGCCAGCTAACAAATAGAATTAGAATTAAGTACAGCAAATACAGCACATAACAGGCCATTCAGCCCAACTCGTCCATGCCAATGTTTGTACTCCACAGGAGCATTCACCCTCCTAATCTCCTCTTCCCTACATGACAGATCAATGCACAAACAACCTTAGAGACTAAAGAATTGGAACTATAAGCAAGAATATTTTAGCAGGAAAGGGAATAATAAGAAAATCATAATCTTTATATTACATATAACACTTACACATTGAAACATCTCGAGTGTTCCACAACACTTTACTGTACTTTAAGCACTGCACACACAGTATGCAATTTGTATCCAGCAATAAATATCCTAAAAACTGTCAAGACATAAATAACCAATTTTATCTAGAGGATTGCTACTCTTCTCTTTTCATGTAGTGGCAAGGGATCTTTAACATCCACCGTTGAGGCAGAATGTCTCATTTGATCTGTACAACTCTCCCCAAGCACTGCACGAGTGTCAGCCTGATTACAAATTCAAAGATCTTGACGTGGGCCTTGAACCCACCGCCTTCTGACCTGGAGCCAACTGTGCTACGCACTGAGTCAGACTAGTACAGGACAAAAAACCAGACCCTGTAACGTTGTTAGGAATAATATCAAGATTAAAACGAGAGGAATAAGTGGAGCAGCTCTCTCTGCTCAGCGCGGAGCACAGGACAGGTTGCACATCACTGGAAATACAGTGCCCTTCCCCAAACATCCAGCACAAATGAGGTGGTAAACATTAATTGGACAGCTTCACCACAAGAGTATAGGATATGAAGGAATAAGACAGACTGATGTTGTCAAAACCTTATAATAATAATAATCCTTGCATTTGATATAGCGCTTTTCACGTCGGGAGGACGTCCCAAAGCGCTTCACAGAATATACGAGTGGTCCGAGGGATATGGTTTTACGGTGACAGCTTTGGGGCAAATCACACCACCAAGTGGAGTGTCACCAACACACACAACACTAACGTCGACGTATCACTTAAATCCGGTCTGAGTTAACAGAGAGGGTCAGACCAGTCGTGTCCACTTAATAACGCCCAACACTGACACATTAATACCTTCCTCTGTCTGTTGCGGGAGGTGAGCATTTTGTTTTCTGGACCAGAGAAATACCGCCAGACAGCGGCTGGCGCCGGGGATCCCCCCCACCACCCCCCCACCACCCCCCCAGTCCTCTCCAGCCCCCCACCCCCAGCCCGACAGACCGGGGGTTAATAACGGGGCCCCGAGTGTATCGCCTCGAAAGCAAATAACGACCATTAATTACACAGCGGACTCCGTCGCCAAGTGCAACCGCCCCGGACCACCAGCGCTCGCCATCAGGCGGCAGCGTCCCTGTCGCCCTGAGAGTAAAGCGATCAGCAGAGACCGGCGGCACCGGAGCCTCCAGTCCACGGGGATCAGCCGCCGCCGCTTCCATCCGCTCCGGCAACGGCTGAGCTTCAAACAGGTCCCGCGGCACCGCCGAGACGGACAACAGCAGCAGCGGATGGCCGCAGCTCTCCCGGTTGTAGTCATGACCAGTGCGGGTCCCCCTCCCGCCCGCGCGCTCAGTGCTCAGCGCACGTGCACTATTGCAGCAGACGGTTTATTTTGCACGTGACGGTGTTTGTGTTGTGCTGTCGCGTGAAGTGCGCTGTATAAACCAAGTCGTTGTTGTTGTTGTGCTGTACCGCGCGGCACCGGTTAATGCGGCTCCGTGACCCCCACCACCACCACCACCGGGGCTCGCGCTCATCCTCCAATGCCGCCCCCCCCCCCCGGCTCCATGACCCCCCGCCGCTCGGCTTCCCACAGCAGGTCCGGCACTGGGGGCTGTGCGGTGGTCTCCGCTCTGACTGACCTGTGTTGCCGGACTCCCTGTCTCTGCTCCGCTCCCGCACAGCGCGCTCCTCCGCCATCTTCTCGCCGCCAACCCGGCCCAGCGCCGCTCCTGATTGGCCAACGAGCTCGGCCCAGCACCTCTCCTCATTGGTCAGCCAGTCTGGTTCAGCCTTGTTCGTGATTGGTCAGCGAGTTTGGCCCGGCGTCGCTTCTCATTGGTCATCGAACCCGCCCCAGCGCCGCGCCGAGTGTGTGAGACCACACTCGCTTTCTATTGGCCACAAACAAATCAAGGTTTATCATTGGTCAGAATGACGCGCACTCCCCATTGGTCAGGAGTCTCCCATTGAAGAGAGTTGTGAGCTTAAGCTCACAGTGCAATAAATATTTTACAATGTAATACAGTGGAGTATATTTGGATGCAAATACATATAAATTAGGTCACTCCACTTGACAGAAATGATCTTTAATAATAATCCTTGCATTAGATATAGCACCTTATGACGTCTTTGAGATGTCTCAAAGCGCTTCACAGGATATACCGTAAAGTGAATTGATTGTATATTTTGTGTGTAAAACACGGCAGCCAATTGCGCACAGCAGTGTCCCCACAAACAGTGGTGGATTGAAGTGACCAATTTATTATCATTATTTTTGAAGGAATTATTACCACAGGAAAAGCAATCCCAAACAAAAGGTGCTATAGAAAAATGTAAGTTTTATACAATTACATCACATCATTTCTAACTGATCTCATTTTGCAAAGCTCAGCCTTTTTTTCATGAAAAGTGGTTTGTAACTAAGCTGCTAGTAAGAAAGGATATTCAGGGAAACAGAGTAAAGAAGGAATGGAATTAAAAAGCTGCACAGACTTGATGGGATACATGGCTTTCTTCTGTTCCAATTGTTGCTTAATCCACAGAAAGAAAAAAAATGTCATCTTCCTTTCTGACTCGTGATAAACAAAAAGCAATGGTAGAAAAACACCCAAATGGCTTTGCCTGGATCAAATTTGTCACCCTTTTTGCACAAGGATGTCATGTGAGCTTGCACCAACGTCCAATGATTCTTTCAATGACAACTGCTATCGCTCCACAAAATTCAGTCTCCTTCGGGCCTCCTTCATTGGCCTTGCCCTGGAGAATCGTTACTTTTACTTTGTCCAGAGCTAATGCGCCAAGTACCTCACCAATTAAATCACAGCTGTAGTAGCATTACCTTGTACTTTATTTTTCTGTTCATCTACAATAGGCTTTTCTTATCCTGGAATTGTCATTAGACAAGGCAACACCAAAAACCTTCACTCAACTGGTAAAGCCACTTGCATTTATATAGCACTCCTCATGCAGAGTGGCGTCGCAGAGCACTAAACAGTGGGAGTGAGGGAGAGGTGGCTGTAGGCACAGTCGAATAGAAAGGTCTTCAGGCACAACCAGAAGATGTGAAAGGAACAGGCAAGGCGGAGGGATAGAGGAAGAGTGTTCCAGAGTTTCGGGGCATCATGGCTGAAAGCGTGGTCACCAATGGTGAAACAGAGGACATGAGGGACATACAGAAAGCCGGGGCCAATCGAGCTGAGGCAGTGGGTTGTGGGGTAAGCGGGTCAGAGAGGTAGGGAGGTGCCAGGGCGTGAAGGGTTTTGAAAACAAGTATGAGGATCTTGAAATTGATCTATTCGGTGACAGGGAGATAGTGGAACCTAGCTAGGACTGGTGGATGGGGGTACGGAGCTTAGTGTGGGTGAGTAAGCAGGGAGCGGTGATTTGGATCAGCTTTTCAGCAGATCTTTAGTTTTAACTGTGTCTGGGGCAAGTATGTTCGGAGGTGGGCAATGTGACGAAAGTGGAAGAAGGCGGTCCTGGTCAGGGACCGGATATGGGGATGGAAGGACAGCTGTGGGTTGAACCTGAAGCCTAGGTCTGAGGGATAGGCCAGGGAGGTTGAGGTCAGAACCGCCTGATAGAAGACCTTGACGGGAGCCAATAAGTCTGGCTTGCATCTTGTCAACATTTAGTTGCAGGAAGTTTTCGCTCATCCAGCACCTGATGTCCACCAGATAAGCTGAACATCGATGGACCTGGAGTCACAGCTGGAGAAGGCTGAGGGAGCCCTGGTCACAGAGAGAGGACGTTGTTTGTGATCTTGACAAGTGCCGTCTCTATGCTATGGGCAGTGCGGAGCCCAAACTGGAAGGGTTCGAGGAGGGAGAACTGAGAGCAAAGCTGGTTAGCTACAATGCGTTCCAGAGCTTTGGCAAGGAAGTGCAGGTTGGAAATGGATCGGTAATTTGTGAGGTTGGAGGGGTCAAGGGTGTTTTCTTTTAGGAGAGAAGTGATGATAATGGTTTTAAGGGGGGAAAGGAACAGAACATGAGGAGAGCAACTGGTTGACTGTGGGGGGGAGAGGAGGGGGAGTTGGGTGACTAGCAGCTGAGTGGGAAGGGGGTTGAGGCAGCAGGTGGTGGGTTCCACTCTGCACTGTTGAAGCAGACATTCCGTTCAGTCTTCCAAAATAAAAAGGAATATCCAAATCCAAAACATTTCATCAGGAATGCTTTGTGGCATTAGAATCCACATGTTTTAATAAGACTGCAGTGGTGAATGAATCTGACCGATGATTCATTTCTGCAGAAAGATGCAGAAAAACATTGTAACAGTGCGAGTTTGCTCATGTATAATACAGTCTTCAACACAGAACCAAAAATGTCTTTCATCATTGCCATGGAAATCAATACTGTACCAGTATGAAGTTTCATTCAAAACAGCCATTCCACTTATCAAAACAACAATAAATCGACAGTAGATGTTATTAGAGATGATGCATTTAGAAAATAAGGACAGCTATGGAACAGGAGCACATGCCAGGTTTGTGGAATTTAAAAGCCTTTTACTTGGAGATTGTGAATAATATTCTTACAAATAATTTATTGATAAGCATTTCATTTTCTTCAGTACTAACATTTTGGTATTAACATTGTGTATTATGACTAATCTCAATACATTTCTTTTTGGTCACCCAGATGTCTGACACACTTGGAAACCATCGCCATACACATCAGACAAATTGACACATGGAAATTTCCCAGTGTCTGGAATGAAGTGTGCACTCTCTACCTCGAAGGATGCACCCTGCTTACCTAATTGCCTGATACCAAAAGTGTTCAGCACAGGTTAGTAGGCTTGGGAGCCCCAAAATGTGTGGTGAGGTATTGCTTGAACTTAACCAGCTAAAACCATAGAGCTTGCCATTACGAGCAGTGTCTGGCAAGCTTGCCGCTGCTAGAATCATCCAATCCATTTGGGCTATGGCTTTCAGAGTTTATAGGAGCCAAGTAGGAAGCATCCATGCCCCCATTGATGGAGTGTCCCTCCATGTCCTACCATTGAGCCAGGCTAAGATAGTCCATTAACAACATTGCTGTGAAGAACTGCAGACCTGCTTGGCTCAGGAATCCAGGCAAGTCTGCAGTACATAGCTGTATGAAAAAAAATACATCAGTTACTATTCAGTAAATTCACATTTCCACAATATTGCCATGTGTTGTATTTTTCTGGAAGCTGTTCGATGTAATTACCTGGTGTAAAAAAGTTTGCATTTTTATAGCTCTTTATCCTGTGAAACTGCAGAAAAGCAATTTATGTTAATTTATTTGCATGATTTACTTGTTAAAAAATAATTCCAGTGACAAGATTTTATTATTCTGTGCAAGTCCATAAGTGACTCATGGATAACTTTGTGGGATTCTGGTGATTACTGTATTACTAATCCAAAATAATTAAAGCACAAAGTTAACCAACTCTGCTTATTCCAGGCCAGTGGTTAGTTGCTACATCGAATCTCCTATTCCAGCATAACAACAACTCAGGCCTGTTTTACTCAGTCCTCCAACCTGCATAAAACACATGACGGAGAAAATGAGGATCGAGTAATTCACATCTCTTGTCAGTATCAAATTTTCACATAATCATATAAATATCCTCTGAAAGTTATCAGTGTCCCGAGATTGAAATTTGAAATTACAATAAAACAGACTATAGATTTAAAACTGATCCTTATTTCAGGTAAATCAGTTCACACGTATAATTGTGGAATCACACACAAATTTGGTGTCAGCCTGGTTCAGTTGATGAAAGTCTTGCCTCTTGACTCAAAAGATTTTGGGGTCAAGTCCCACTTCTGAACTTTGAAATCAGTCTGGGCTGAAATACCAATATAATGTGAGGATGCGCTGTGTTGTCCAAGTTGCCATTCTTTGGCTGAGGCATTCAACCAAAGTCCTGTCTGCTCATTCTGGTGATGTTAAAGATCCCATGGTACTTTCAAAGAAAAGGGAGTTTCTCGCGGTGTCCTAGCAAGATAAAATTATTCATTTATGGCTGTTTGTGGAATATTGCTGTTTGCAAATTGGAAGCCATGTTCACCTACAAGATAGTCACTGACTTTACTGTAAACCCTGCAGAGTGCTTTGAGATAACCTGATGTGAAAGGCACTACATCAAATGCAAGGATTATTATAATGACTTTGTGGCCTGAGCAAGAAAGAAGCGATACCTACTTTAGGATGTACATTGCAAACTCAACTTGGTCCTTTGGTGAAAAGCTAGTCCAAAAGTTTTTTCAGGATGAAACTCTTAGGATGTTGTCAGGGGATTGTCAAACTATTGTCTAAGGCAATCCACTCCTGATCTGATGTTAGTTTGATGTTCATTTCCTCTTGATAATGTCCTAGGGATCAAGCCAAACAGCTGCACTTTATTTCTTCGAGGGCTTTTTTTTCATTTAAGTGAATACCAGACATGTCAACCTGTCCATTCACTGTCTAGCAACAGTTCAACAAAACAAATCCCGTCATTCCCGAGATCTGAAAGCATTCCTTTAAATTGCCAAATTTCCCTTTTTTTTTGCTCTGAGTACTTTTTGTTTCCAAGTATCCAAATCCCAACAATGCTTTATACACAGGAGGTGCACTGCAGTAATGTCAGTGGTAACTACCCCCACCAATCCATTTTTTCTCTAACATAACCTGGACCAAAGCTTATCCCTGAACACTAGGCACAAATTCAAGTCTCCATGCCAACAGCCCAAATAGCATTGCTACTGGCACACCACCATATTTTGAAATTTTCTTTTGAAACTATATATGGCTGCACTTTGCAAAGAATCCTTTTGAGGACAGTGCTATTAAACATCATAATTCACTCCAGTAATGTTGTTTTCAAACATGCTTCCCCAGTTTCTGTCCAGGGGTTAACTTGGCTGAATTAGCACAGGCTGAAGTCCCCTTGGCAAGGGGAGAGGTAAACAGATGGTGCACAAATTCCTTAACAGATGCCCCAAAAATGTTATTCTGCATTGCTTGTCCAGAGACCTAAGAATTCCAGCAAGTTACATTATTCCGTTGAAAACCCAAATTTCATATCAATAACAACTACTTTATTTGTTTAGCAATGTTATTCCTATAGTTGTATTCTCTTTCACCTTCTCTCTGTGCTTTAATTTCCCCATGTCTTACTTGCTTTTGCTTCCCCTACCTCACAATCTTGTGACGCTTGTCCTTAATCTAGTTTTGTTGCTTCTGTAAAAAAAGACAGTAAGATTTCATTCCCCAGACTTTCCTGTTTTGAAGACAAGAACGAAGGAGGAAGACAATTTGATACATTTTGTATATTCCCATTGTCCAAATGCAGAGTCTGGACCTTTGTTACAGATGGATCGTACCAAAGTGTTAACTTTCTGTCACTTTGCTTTCCATTTCCTTTTTCCCACCCTCGCTCGCCTCCACTGACTCCCCATCCCCCAGAGGATCGAATTCAAGATCCTCATCCTCACCTACAGGCCCTAACCCTAACCCAACTGTCCAGCGCCTTGGGATGTCCTCCTGACGTGAAAGGCGCTCTCTAAATGCAATCATGTTGTGTTGTAAACGATTCAAATCATTTTGCATTCTCCACACTATGCAGCAAATAATTCCACATTTAGCTTGCGGTCTTGTTTTAATCTCGTTTTTTGGTTCTTTTCCTGGGTTGACAGAAAAAACTGCACCAAATTATTTCAAAGGCAGGCATTATAGTTGAAAGCAGGAGAGTGTTTCAGGAAATTAATAAGTTGGTCTCCAAGCTTTGAAATTGCATTTTTTAAATTTTTTTGTTGTCAGTGGCAAGGATTGATTGATACCACAATTGAAACTATTTGCATTTTTCACCACACAAAATGGAGGGATTTCCAGTTTGTTGTTCAGCCCAATCTAATCTTTCTCTAATTCCACCTTCTTCATAGATATGCCCTTCATCTCATTTTATTAAAAAAACCTAAAACAGAAATTCATCATTTTAAAGCTTAAATAATATTGCTTACATTGATATAATAATCCTTGCATTTGATATATCGCCTTATCACGTATTCGAGATGTCTCAAAGTGCTTCACAGAATATACTGTAAAGTGAATTCACTGTATATTTTGTGGGCAAAAAGCGGCAGCCAATTGCGCACAGCAGTGTCCCATAAACAGTCATGGATTAAGTGATTAAATTATTATTTTTTTTAATGGATTATTACCCCAGAAAAGTGATCTGCCAATCGACTAACAAACAGGTTCTTACTTACTGCAAGGTAAACAGAGGCATGTGGAGTAAGGAAATTTGTCTAATGTTTCACCCTGCTGGGAATCAAATCCAGATCCTCTCGCTTCCAAGGCGAGTGCTCTAACTACTGAACTACAGGATTCCACATATAACGCCTTTCATTTCAGAATGACATCTGAAACTTCTTTACAGTGGAGTGACTGTATTTTGCAGGCTAACATGGCAGCCTATTTTGTACACAGCAGTGTCCCACAAACAGCCATGACCAATACATGTAAATGCATTTAACTTCAGTTTCTACCTCTCTCTGAATAGTGAAAACAAGTGAGGAGTTAGTTTTGAAAAAAGTAGTCGAAGGACAAGATTCCAAATCTACTCAGAACAGAATACATTTTGAAGTATAAATGGTATTATTCCATAGTTATGTGATATATTGGAACCAGGTGCATCCGCTTATGTGAGAACATTGTGGTCTTCTTTTCAATACTGAGCAGACTATTCTTTGTAACAAAGCAGGGAAACACAGCAGTCTTGTTCTTGCAACATACACACTTTAAAAGATCAGAAAGTTTATTTTGATGACTAGTTTACAGGCCTTGTAAGTTGCCAAGACAACCAAATATTTCAATAAAACTTTCACAAGCAGATCCAAAATCCTGAAAGAGTGAAGAATATAGGTTGCTCTACATATTCAGCATACCGACTTCTCTCCAGTCCTCTGTTAAATCTTGTAGCATTCCTTGGTTATCTGTTCGCTGTGAGCTTTGAAGTCTGCAACATCACACACTTACAGCAACGCAGTGAGGTTACAGACTCAATCTTGGCATTCTGCATGCCACACGCTTGCTTGAAAAGTCAGCCTCGTAGGAATGGTTGATAATGTTTAGAATCTTATATATATTATTTACACACACATAAATAATAATAATCCTTGCATCTGATATAGCGCCTTTCACATCAGGAGCATCTTTCACAGGATATACTGTAAAGTGTGGTGATTGTGTATTTTGTGAAAACAGAAGTCTATGCATGTGGTCAATGAAGGAAAAGCAATTCACCTGCATTAAATTAGGTGCTTACCAGATTAATTCACAATGAGCTCCCCATTTGCTATGAGTGAGTAGTCAGGGCTGGGAAAGTAAACAGGCTGAATATTGCTGCATGGAATCACTGGCATGTTCCATAAAAATAAAGATTAAAGATCAAGTTATAAGACTGGAATTAGAGAAAAAATGGTTTAACTTCTCCTTAGATATAATAACTCAGATCCTGGGAGTGAAGATGAGCCAACAGCTATATTGTCAACCCCATGAATGAAATAGCATAGACACACTGTTGCAATCCAGATGCTGGCAACTCTCTCAATTGAGTCTCATGCATTTTATATTTCAGATAAAGCATTGTGTATCTGGAGTCCAATTCAATGAGCTTAGTAAAATAATTTACTCAAAAATTGTTAGCTCTTAATGAATAATCGTAAATCTTGAACTTAAGTTATGAAATCTTGTCAAAGTGTTCAAGAGTATATCCTTCACAAAGGTGCTGTTTTGGGGTCCAGTTACTTTGTTGACTTTTACATAATGATTGTGTGCACTGTAGGGGCTGGGCTGGGCGTATTATGAGCACAGTTTTGTCACCTCTGAAATCTGGTCTATTATTCTACGCAGACAAACTGGATATTTATTTTCTGCTGCATATCGGGATTCAGCACAAAAAATGACATTAGCCGGTTTCAATACAGAACGATAACATATGTTTGCATTTTTTGGCACAGAACTGGCAATCTCACAGGTGACTTTGAGAAGCAGCCAGTACTGGCAGAGACATGATGGCCCCATTTTGTAGCTATCTTCCATTTCCCAATTTTGACAACTGTTTATGGGACACTGCTGTGCGCAATTGGCTGCCTGCGTTTTGCCCACAAAAGATAATAACAATAGTCAATTCACTTTACAGTATATTCTGTGAAGCACTTTGAGACGTCTCGAAGAAGTGATAAGGTGCTATATCAAATGCAAGGATTATTATTACCGTACACTTTCGTAAATCCAACAAAAAAACTATTGAAGATAATGGAGAAGAGAACCTGACAGTTATAACAAATTGAGTGCTAAAAGCATATGAATGGAAAACGTCTTGCATTGGTAAGTGTAAATTGTTTCTCCGACACTTTAGATGTGTACATGTCACCTAAAAATAAAAATATACATTTTACTTGTCCATAAATCCATCATCTGCCATAACCTATTTATCTGAATAGTTAAATGCTGGCAGCCCGAAAAGATCAATAATTCCCAGTCACTTTGACAATTGCAAAGCATTGGCAGCAAAGGCCTGTAGTAACCTGCTGAATTACTTTGCTGTAGAAAGCTGTATCTTTGGTGAAGACTGATTTGAGAAAGTTAAGATAAACTAAGCTGCTTATCAAGTATTCCTTACTTCAACATATGAGATGTCATGTTTCCAAACATAAAAACAGAATGTTGGATTACTTGCTAGATTATTTGACCACAATTCACCTTCCACATACAAACAAATACAAGCAGGGAGAAAAACACCCGGGACATTGACTTTGTGATGGTGGTCAGGCATCCTTAATCTAGTTTGGATCTCTCAACACACCTTAGTTCATCAAGTAGAAAAAGCAGCACATATGGATTTGTAAACACAGACAGATTGTCATACAAAAATAACAAACAGAAATAAATCAACATGCTCACATAAACTAACTGAACCAAATCATTGTGTAAAGGGAATGTACTTAAACCATCAGTCATTAAGACAGAATGATCTTTACCCTTGGATACACAGGCAGCCAAATGCCAGCAATATATGCTAAACAAATGTATTATGGCAAAGCTAAGGATACTCACAAGCCACTGTCCTACGTCATCTACTCTCCACCTGGAAATCTCTTTATTTTACTCTGATTCTTTCAGATCAACAATCATTGGAACATCCTGATCTGTTTGATTCAATTATCTTTCCGTATAACCCTCTTCACCTTTATATTGCATTTGGATCAGTAATAGATATAGGCAGGCCAGGGGACCATTTCAAGGTCCTACTTGATTCGTGTATGTGGTTCCCAAACATTTACAGACAACTGTCTGGAACTCCAATATGGACCTAGCTTCAACTGGAGCTTTACAAAGGTAATGGACGTAGAACTGTGGGGTTTGTTCAATTTTTATTCATTTTTTATAAACAAAACCATTATAGTGACTATGCATTTTCATATTATAAAATTTGGGTAATAAACATTCATGTGGTACACACAAGCACTGTAATTGGGTTTCAAATACCTGCACACTCAATAACCACTCCTCTGAATGTTTTATCTGGCCCATTTCCCACTTTATTGGTGTCACAGAACTAGTTTAAAGAATATTCCTTTTTTTGTATATGAAACACTGATCTGACAGAAAAGGTTGTGAAAAATTCAGCTCTTATTTTGAGAGGGAGATGATCCACATTAATCTCACAATATCTTTCTGCAAGTTCCAGACAATTTCACTTAAGATCCGAATGCAAAGTAAATATTTGTTCATAATTTGTCAAACAATCAACCAATCATGTTTTCAGATCAGTTCTTCAGCCTCTTGTCTCATTCTCTTGAGGAGATGTTCACTAACTGCTGCAAGAGGATTTGCCTTAAATGTGGGGTCCACAATGGTTGCTCTGAATCGTGACACTTCTTCATCTCTGAAACATAACATGTGAAACATGAGCACATATGGAATGGAAAATCTGGAGGCCATTTGGCTATCTATAACCACAACCCAAATAAAACCACCTCCCAGCACAACCTGCTCTCTAAATGTACTGGGTCTTCTTTGTGGAGAGAAATCTGTCTGTGACCTGCTATAAGAGCTCTCCAGAAACTTGATGCACAATATCTGCAATTCACATAGGTTATGAAGATGACTTCACGCAGTAATGCTGGAAATTTACTGATATTAACAAATAGGATGACCAATGAAAAGAACTCCGTAATCTGGATCATTTTGGCTTGTGTTCAAAAAGCCCAGAGATTTAAAATTTAGATAATTTCTTATAGAACACTAGATAAATGTTAAAGATTCATCAAACCTTCTAACTACTTCATCAATTCATCTTTTTTTTGAAAACAATCTGGTTACAAAAAAAACGGATAGACGTTTAAGAACATAAGAATTAAAAGCAGGAGTAGGCCATTTGGTCCCTCGAGCCTGCCCCGCCATTTGATAAGATCATGGCTGACCTTCTGACCGAACTCTAATTACCTGCCCTATCCCCATAGCCCCTAATCCCTCTATTTTAAAAAAAATCTATCAGTCTCAGCCTTGAAAATGTTCAAGGACTGAGCAACTTCAGCCTTCTGGGGTAGTGAATTCCATAAATTCACTACCCTCTGAGTGAAGAAATGTTTCCTCAACTCAGTTCTAAAAGGCTGACCCATAATTTTAAGACTGTGACCCCTGGTTATAGATTCTCCTACCAGGGGAAAGAGTTCCTCAGTGTCTACTTTATCCAGCCCTTTAAATATCTTATATGTTTCAATAAGATCTCCCCTAATTCTTCTGTACTCTAGAGAATACAGCCCTAGTTTGTTCAGCCTATCCTCATAAGTCAGTTCCCTCATCCCAGGAACTAACCGAGTGAATCTACGCTGCATCCCCTCTAAGGCAAGTATGTCCTTTTTTAAATAAGAAGACCAAAACTGCACACAATACTCTAGGTGCGGTCTCACCAAGACCAAGATAGTTGCACCAAGACTTCCCTACTCTTGTACTCTAAACCTTTTGCAATGAACACTAACATGCCGTTCGCCTTCTTAGTAGCTGCTGCACCTGCAAAGTAACTTTTTGAGACTGGTGTACAAGGACACCCAAATCCCTCTGAACACTAACACTATCTAATCTCTCCCCCTCAAGAAAATAATCTGTTTTTCTATTTTTTGCTACCTCGGTGAATAACTTCACACTTCCCCACATTAAATTCCATCTGCCACCTACTCGCCCACTCCCCTAGCCTATCTATATCCGGTTGCAATCTTTTTGCATCATCCTCAGAGCTTACTCTCCCACCTAGTTTAGTGTCATCCCGAATTTAGATACGTTACATTCAATGTCCTTGTCTAGATCATTGATGTAAATTGTAAATAGCTGAGGCCCAAGCACTGATCCTTGTGGCACTCCACTAGTCACATCCTGCCAATTCGAGAATGACCCGTTTATCCCTACTCTCTGTTTTTTACCCGTTAGCCACTCTTCAATCCATGCTAACATGTTCCCATTAATCCCGTGGGCCTTAACCTTGTGCAATAGCCTTTTGTGTGGCACATTGTTAAATGCCTTCTTAAAATCTAAATATACTACATCTACTGGTTCCCCCTGTCTAACCTGCTAGATACATCTTCAAAAAACTTAAAAGATTAGTTAAGCATGACTTCCCTTTTGTAAAGCCATGTTGACTCTGCCTAATCTTGTTATGGTCTTCCAGGAATCCCATAACGACATCCTTAATTAAGGACTCAAGAATTTTCCCTACCACTGATGTCAGACTAACTGGTCTATAGTTCCCCATCTTTTCTCTCCCACCCTTCTTAAATAGTGGTGTTATGTTTGCAATCTTCCAATCAATGGGAACCGTTCCAGAATCCAGAGAATTTTGGAAGATCAAAGACAAGCCATCCACTATCTCAGTAGCCACCTCTTTTAAAACCCTAGGATGTAGGCCATCAGGTCCAGGGATTTATCAGTTTTAAGACCTGACAATTTACCTAAAACCATTTCTTTACTAATATTAATTTCCCCAAGTTGCTCGCTAACATTGTCTTCTTGGTTCCCCTCTATTCTTGGTAGGTTTTCAGTGTCTTCTAAGGTGAAGACAGTAGCAAAGTACTTGTTTAATGACTCTGCCATGTCTTTGTCCGCTACTATAATTCTCCCCGTCTCTGCCTCTAACGGACCCACATTTACCTTTGACAGCCTCTTCCTCTTTATATATTTGTAAAAAAACTCTTGCAGTCTGTCCTTATGTTCCTCGCTAGTTTGCACTCATATTCCATTTTCTCCCTCTTAATCACTTTTTTGGTTCTCCTTTGTTGATCCCTAAAGTTCTCCAAATCCTCAGGTTTACTACTCACCTTAGCTGTTTTATAGGCTTCTTCCTTTAACTTTATACTTTCCTTAAGCCACAGTTGGGCCACCTTTCCCGTGGCATTCTTATTCCTCAAAGGAATACGTGCTCGCTGGGAATTTTGCACTATCTCCTTAAACTTCTTCCATTGCTGGTCTACTGTCAAATCCTTAAGTCTAATTTCCCAGTTTATTTTAACTAAATCCTCTCTCATACCAGAAAAGTTGACTCTACTTAAATTTAAGACCTTTGCTTCGGCTTAACTACTCTCTCTAACTTAATGCTAAATTCCATCATATTATGATCACTTTGCCCTAGAGGAGCCTTAAGTTCGTTTGCTGATCAGCCCTGCTTCATTACACAAAACAAGGTCTAATATGGCCTGTTCTCTAGTTGGCTCCTCGGTATACTGATCTAGATAATTATCCCTATTACTTTCTATAAACTTCCTCTATCTTACTTTTCCCAATTTGGTTGTCTCAATCTACATACAGATTAAAATCACCCACAATTAGTTTTTCCTTTGCTACATGCTCCGCTAATTTTCTGATTTATACCTTGAGAGATACTGTGACTGCTGCTCGAGGGTCTATAAACTACTCCCACTAGAGTTTTCTGCCCCTTGTTGTTATGTACTTCTACCCATACTGACTCTACTTCCTGCTTTTCTGATTTAAAATCTTTCTTCGCTACTGCTTTTATCCCATCCTTTATTAACAGGGCCACCCCACCCTCCTCGTTTACCACATTGCCTATCTTTTCTATACACCACGTACCCTGGAATATTTGGCTCCCACCCTTGATCTCCCTATAACCATGTCTACCCGGTGATGGCTAAGATCATACCCATTTGTTTCTATTTGTGCAGTTAGTTAATCTATCTCGTTTCGAATGCTTCGTGCATTCAGATATAGCGCCCTGAATTCTAACTTCAGGCTATTAGTCCTATTCACCAGTACCCTATCCCTGGGTCTCTTTTCCCCACTTGACACACTTTGCTCATCTCCCTCGTTAATCTAAATAAATAAAGTTTAAATACTCTGTGATGTAGTGTGGCTCCAGTCCAGTTTGAATCTGACTACATGAATGTCAGATGTCAAATGCAACAATTTTTTGTTGAGCAATGTTGGATCGATATCCTGCAATCATTCACTTTTGCCTTTGGAGTTGGGAAAGAATTTCCATTGTCTCTGGTGGTATTATCAACTACAGTTACTCACCTCCCTCCAATCAGAATCAGCCCAGGTCATCATAAATTATACTTGGTCCAGTCGTGTGCCAGGTTATGTTTTTAGGCAGACCAAGGAATGAAACCAACTGTAAATACGACATACAGTCTGTGCTCTGACCCTCATGTTCGTGGAGACACAAGCTCTACAGGAATCTATTAAAAATCTTTATGCTCGAGTCAGTCATGAATTGTGGTTTTGGTGTCGCTATTTGTTTTGTTTCTATTTGTGAAAACAAACTAGGTTGTTCTTTTAAGCTATTGCTATATTGACTACATCTGAACAGATGTTTTCCATTTCAATGGCAGTGTTTAGGCAGGAATAAAGAACCCCTCTCAAGATTCAATTAGATACAGACACGCAAGAATCACACATTCAAAATACAAGGATTATTATTATTATCTTTCAAATTAACTCTCCCTCATGATTAGGGAGAATTGGAGTTTCGAGCATATCTGGTTTATTCAGCAGAATTAAACAAAATCAGGGAATCAAATGTTAAATATATTTTGGAGGAGGGGTGGTGAAGGGTATAGAAGAGCACAACAGATGGAATTCACATTCTGAAGTTTGGCTTTGGAGGCCAGGTAAATTTGCAGAATCCAGATTGGTATACATTCAGAGCTAAACATCAACCCCCAACTCATTGTTAGCTGATATTATAATTCTGGAAGAGTTCATTGAATCCATTCTGAACTTATACGAATAGTTCCCCACCACAAAAGACTTTAGATGCTGCAACTCCACTTACATTAATTTTCGTTTTTGAGCAGGATGCATCTTGCTGAAGACTGTTGGCTCAGGCTTCTTCTTACTGTTAGAAAAGACAGAGGTGAAACATCCTTTGCTACACATAATTCAGTAATTATTGCCCTTGGGGACCAGGATATTTCTACCTAGAACCCCGTTTTAACCCACATGCAAGGTATCCCTGGGCTATTCTCATTTTTGCACAGCTTCTGTTGCTCCTGTATCACGGCCAAAGATGCTCCATGTTCTAAGTTGGCACATTTATCTGATCAGAGCCTCTGCCATGTGTGAGTGATGGTAGTCAGACTCCACTGTCCACATGCTACACAGGATTGCAAAGTTCCAAAAACCATTGAAGTGCTGTGGACTGGCCATCATGAGCAAACCTGAGCGGAAATGACCAATAATTACCCTCCCCTGTTGTGGAGTTAACTGCTTCTGACAGTCAGTTGAAAACTCGGACATTTAACTTGGTATTAAACCAGCAGCTGTCCATTCCTCACTCAAATATGAAACACAAATGTCTGAAATGTTCTCTTCCATCTCTGGCGAAATGCTTCCATCTCTGGCATTCTCACTTGCAACTAATGCAACTGTTTGTTCCCTTACTTGAAACTATTTCATCCTAGAAAACATTAAAAACCCAACCGTAATCCCTTAACAGAGCAAAGCAGCAACCATCTTAAACAGATGAGGATTTGCTTGATCTCAGTTTCAGTAACAGCTAATACCATTGCTGTTTAGCCATTAATGAAATTGAGTTTGGTTGCACCACAATGCTGCAAAAAACACACAATCTACGTAAATTTGGTTGCTATGACTGCAAGCCTCCTTTAATCACAGTTCATTAGTTTCGTTCCTTTCAAATCAGAAGGAAGTCAGTGTGTCCTTCAGGCACAGCTAGAAGATGGTTTCTCAACGCTGTATATTACTAACAAAACAAAACATAATTAACTTTTCATTCTCAATCACAGTGGGAACATTTGCAAACCCCATCTGCCACTCCCAATACCCATCCCAGTGCGATAGAATTAAAGTGTTACACACAAGCCACACAAAAACCTCAGTCATGAAGGAAGAGTGAGCAGACCACAAATTCCTCTGTGATTGAGCATGACCTGACTCCAGAGGCAGGCTCATTGCTGGGTGTACCAGCTCACAAGTTGGTTCCTCTCATGTGGAATATTCAGTGTCTGAGTTCCTCCACTTAGTCTCTGATGATGCTTTTGATTCACACTGGGCTAAAATCTAAATTTGCCTACAAAATACAAAATCAGTACACTTTATAGTAAATCCTGTGAAATGTTTTGAGACGTTCTCCTAATGTAAGGTTTATTATTTTTAAGCTCTCAACTGTCCCCCTTTCCCTTGACCTCACAGCAACGCTGGTTTTGCTGGTTCGTTCACTCAGATGTCAGTAAATCTTCACTTGCTTGTCTTCAATATAGACAACATCAGAATGGCATTACATTTCTGCCCCGTCACTGACTGTAATTATAATAATCCACGCATTTGATATAGCGCTTTAACATATTGTTTAAATATCTCAAAGCACTTCACAGAATTTTCTGTAAAGTTTGTGATTGTGTATTTGTAGGTGAAAGCAGCAGCCAATTTGTGCAAGTGCAAAGCAAAAAGACTGGAGCACACACAGATAGATCCCCAGGAACAGTGAGTGCTAGATTATGAAGCATCTGTTGCACCTCCTCTTCACCGAAGAGGAGGTGCAACAGAATGTAGTAGGAATCCCACCAGAATCACAGCAGCTCACTAGAGTCAGACTACAGTATTTCAGACTATCAGTACCTCTTGCTCTTGGATTTTTTTGTCTCCGCTACTTTGCTGGCACTGATGAGGTCTGACAGTTCTGGCAGTGCATCAGCCAACGGCTGCATGTCTCCCACCACAGGGGTGGCTTTACGTTTCTTTTGGGCCTTCTTCTTCTGCTCTGTTAACTTGATCGCGTCAATCTCTGTAAAACAGAACACGAAGGTTCTCAGTCACCCTCCGAGGCTGAATTTCTTTTGCTTCACTCAATTTTGACAAAAAAACAGAAAAAGTCTTATTCATATAGGAAAACAACTTTTAACAAACTGTTGTTTCCAGATATTCATTTATTACTTATTTACATTGATGTTACATAACACAACCATAGAACACAGGTGGCTGCTATTCTGTAAATCGTTTCAAGATATTCACGGAATCAACATGACTCACAGATTAATAGAAAAATGCATCAATATGGCAAAACATTACCAACTTAAAAACCCAATCCATCCATGAAAAAACCCAGCTGTATTAATGGATGGTTTCTGCTTCAAAGATTGCACATGTAAACCAGACATGCAAGAAGGACTGGCTTGTTGGTGCTGGAGCTGAAGCACCAGGAAACTGGTTGCAGGCCTCCCTCCAAAGGTTTGTTTGATAAATCTCTCATGTATTGTGGCAACAAGCCATACTGATCACAAATTGACGAGATACTTGAAACAGAATGTTCAAACACAGTTGTTTCGTCCTGGCTGCTTTAACAGACGGACACAGTTTATTCCATCCATCTGAAGCAAAGACAGAGGGAGATGTCATGGGTACCAGGTGGTGTTCACCACCTTTTATAAGGAGCTGCACATGATCTGAGAAGCAGGATGAATTTGATAACCAAATTTGGTTTGATAACCAAACCAAAAGATCAACCTTGCCTTGGAGATGATGGAGGAAGTCTTATCATTAAAAAACTGGGAAAGCTCCTGGACCAGATGGCTACCCAGCTGTCTTTTGTAAAAATATAGATTAACCTTTGACTTCCAAGATGGCACCCCTACGTAACCGCATTTGGAAAATATTACCCAAGAGAATTAAATTATTCCTTACTCAACTAAATGATCTGTATCAGTCAGGATTTACCAAAGACAATCTTCCAGTGCACAAAGTGAGGAGACCATTTAACATAATCCACCAAGTCTCTGAGCCATGCAATGACACAGTGGACATGAACGATTAAACACAGGGTACAATGGAATCTAAAGTGCTTTCAGAGTGCAGACTTTGGTAAAACATGTTGTTCTATTATTTTAATGTTCCACCCATCCCCTGAATGTCAGGGAAATATTACAAATAAAACTATTGTTGTTAATAAGTAATACATACTAAAGATATTATCCATACTCTCCGCAATTTGCATTTATATTAGAGGTCTTGGGTTTATGTGTAACAAAAAAAACAATATTTATGGTGTATATACTGGAGACTGAGCCCAGATTAAATTTTTCTTTGTGACAAATTATTGTAAAAATCCAGCCAAGGAACACCACAAAGTGAGAGTGAATCTGGGTTTGAGACACCCAGCTGCTGAAATTACTTTGAGGAGGCAGTTTTGCCAGAATATTGATTGGCCTGGCAACAGTGGATAACCTTTCATCTCCAGTCAAAACTTTTTTTAATCTTACTTTGGCATTCCACTTTCAAGGGACCATTTCACACAAGCAACTTTTTAAAATAACATTTAAAAACTACTATAGTTTGCCAAAGTTTTGCACTTGACTGAGCTGAAATGCATTCAGCGGTATAACGGAGCACAAGATATCCACATATATTGAGGATATTTTGTTTGAGATCGTGCCTAGTGATTTCTTTACTACTTCTCTAGATATAAACATTATTTTACTCACAATAAGGATATCGCATTGGGACCAGAGATCCCTGTTGGTATTTGTCAGTTTCACTTTTGTTGGGAAACCAGTGATTTTACATATCAGAGTTTCAATCTCACTCCCTTGTGTGGCAGTATATAGAATGCAACCAATCCTTCTTCCCTCTCAACCATAACTTTACAAAGCCAGTGTGTCAACCTCTCCCAGTTGCAGGGTACTGTGGTCAAAATGGTTAGCTTTCCCAATTTTCTCCTGCGGTTTCTAGTCACCATCATTGGATGACAACTTCATACAGCAACTTGCATTTATATAGTGCCCTTCACATAGGATAACGTCTTGGGAGTGCTGGCATGATCAAAGAGGTAGGTCTTCAGATCAGGGGATGCGAACATGTTTTTGTTTTCTGAACAAAGGGGGCAGGCAGAGGAGTGGGGTACAAACAGGTCTGAGAGATAGGGAGACGCCAAGGTGTGAAGAGATTTGTGCGCGAGGCTGAAAATCTTGAAATCACACATCTAGATAGGAATCCCTAATTCCAGTGTGCCACATCATTTTGTTGTTCTTGTATTCTGTGTGTTGAGCCCTGAAATTGAAAATAGGACTCAACACACAGAATACAAGAACAACAAAATGATGTGGCACATTGGAATTTCAGGTTGCATTTCAGAGTTAAGTTAGATAATGACATGATGAAATTGTTATTATGGTCATACTCAGGTTAGTTAAGATTAACTACACTAACATAACACTTAATGTGCACCTTGACAGGCAGCTAAAAGGTGGTTTGAAGTGACCTGATCACATGCTTCCTAGGCTCACGTTTCATTCAAAACCAGACGGGGAACCTTATCAAGCTGATGCCAAAGAGTCCATTCTTCAGGAGCATTGGGAGGTTTTGCAGCCTTCGGGGTCATCACGGTCAAGCCCATTTATACTCAACTTTCAAATCTTTAACCTGACCAGACATCAGCTTTATGTGCTCCTGACATCTATGGGAAGAATATCTGCCAAATGAAGACAGACAAAGCAGTGACAGACAATAGTCTTCATTGCTACAATGCGGAGCGGGAGATGGAGTATAAATAACCTGGATTTATGAGTCACAAATACTTCCATCAAAGTTTTGTCTCTAAAACAGTATCACCCAGCTAGCATTACTCTTCCTGTTTTGGCTCTTCAAATGTTGGGACAAAAGATAATGAAGAGCGGTCAAGGGTTAAAGACTTCCAGAAAGAACAAGGTTAACCAGCACAAAAGGTGAAGCCAAACAGACCCTTAAAGCCATTGTCACGTGCACCTATCCTCAGGGCTTTCCTACTTTAATAGTTACATGCTCCTGCTCTGTGACATATCCGCGGGCAAGAGGTTACCTTTCACATGTATCTGGATGACACTCAACTCATTTTCTTTGCCTCCACCCTCAACTCCAAGGACCATGGCTGTCCTGACAGATTGCCTGTCAGATATCAAATCCTGGATGAGAGACAATTTCTTCCACTTGCATAACTACAAGCCTGGAGCTTTCCTGCTTGGCTCCCAATTAGCATCACCTCACCTCACTATTCATGGAAGCACTCTCCTCCTTACCGAGCCAGTACGGAACCTTGTTGTCTTGTTCGACCCTTGATTGTGTTTTAAACCCCACATCCATGCCATGACCCGTTCTGCCTTCCACCACCTCTGCAACATTCCATCTTCCGCCACTATCTCTCCCCTCAGGCTCTGAGACCTTCATCCATGCTTTCATAACATCCAGGCTTCTTGCTCACTGGACTTCCCAACTCTTCATTCCACAAGCTCTAGATTATTCAGAACTCTGTAGCTCGTATCCTCTCCCACACTGAGCTACATGAGCCAAACACTCCCATCCTCACCCAGCTTCATTGGCTCCCCATCCCCCAGGTGATCAAGTTCAAGATCCTCATCCTCACCTTTAAAGCCCTCCATGGTCGTGCTCCTCCCTACCTCTGTTACCTACTAAAACTTTACCAACCTGCTTGCTCCCTCTGCTTGGTGGACACTGGCCTTCTCCAAGTCCACCCACCCTACCCATCCCTTCATCGATAGTTAGATCTTCAGCCTTTCTACTCCCACCCTCTGGAGCTCCACTGCCTCACTCTCTTCAAGGCCTGCCTTAAAACATTCCCGTTTGACCCTGCCTTCGGTCATCGTGCTCCTCCACTCCACCCCGCATTTACCCCCTACTCTTCTACACTCCAACCCCCAGTTCGGATGCAAATTCTTCACCTTCCAGCACCTTGCTGCGTCCTGCTGAAGTGAAAGGCGCTATACAAAATCCAATTTGTTGCTGTTGATGTATACCAAAAACACAGAATGAAGCAGAAATAGCTTGCTAAGACCATGTTGGGCAGCTTGCCTGGGTAATGGAATGGCAGGAGTCTGTTTTCCCTTTATTTGTTCGTCCTTTGGGAACCTGGCATTGATCATACATGGAGATAGATGGTTCATGGTCTCACAGAATGTGCATTCACTCTTTCAAGTTAAAAAGATTCACTTTTTGCCTCACAAGATGGCTTTATATTCATGTCTTATTCTTTCAACTGTCTGTCTATATACAGTATACTGTAAGAAGCTTTCAAAAGATAACTACGATGAGATACAAAACAGTTTGTAATGAGTAGTTCTTACTCTGAAGCCATCGCTCGTGCCTCTGCTTCATTTTCTCCTTCTTGGACAGCTGAACTTTCTCACCTGCAGAAGCAAAACAAACAATATTACTCTACAAGTGAGACAGAAAGTGTGCAAGAGTTTTAGGAGAGACTAAACCATCAACACAGGTGAAATTAGAACTGTGATTTACATAAAGTGCAAAATTCTTATGAATTGTATCATAATGAACAGTTTTATACAAGATTTTATCATTTGTTTACCTGTTGACTATAAAACAAGAGGAGGCCATTCAACCAATCAAGCCTGATTAACTATCTTATACTTTAAATAGAATTGAACCTTGAAATATATGGTCAATTCACTTTACAGTCTATTCTGTGAAGCGCTTTGAGACATCGAGAAGACTTGAAAAGCACTCTATCAAATGCAAGGATTATTATGATTATATTATTATTATACATTATACCATTGCAACCAATGTTTAGCTGCTTCATCTGAATGATACTATTTTCTTTAAAAAGAAAGTGTTGGGAAATGGTTTTGGATCAAATTTTAGCAAATAATCAGTAAATGCTTTGGAACAAAAGAGAATTTATAACAACGGGGGGGTTGAGGGGAGGGGGAACATTTCTGCACCTATTACACCTTATTATTTGCTTGCATGGAAGTAAGCCATAGGGTCCTGTATCACAGGTTTTGTTTTGGGGGCTTCAAGCAACTTTAATCAGTCTGCTCACTGCAATACCAATCCTCTTTCCTTTAAAAAGGGAGATCCGACAAGCCAGGCACAATATGCAATGTGTGTCAGCCTGGCTCAGTTGGTAGCAGTCTCGCCTCGGAGTCAAAGATTGTGGGCTCATGCCCACGTCAGGACATGGAACTCAAACTGTCTCAGCTGACATCAAGCTGCAACCAAGCAGCTGATGTCCCAATGCAGTGCTACTAGGTCTTGCTGCATTGTGGGAGATGCCATGCTTCAGTTGAGACGTTAAGCCAAGACTCCAATTGCCTGTTCAGATGGACATTAAAAATTCCATGACACTATTCAAAAAGAGAGAGCGGAGTTTCTACTGGTGTCCTGGCCACCGATTCCCCAAATAAAATTGGTCATTCACTTTATAATAATATAATAATAATAATAATAATAATCCTTGCATTTGATATAGCGCTTTTCACGTCAGGAGGACGTCCCAAAGCGCTTCACAGAACACACTGTAAAGTGAATTGACTGTATATTTGTGGGCGAACGCGGCAGCCAATTGCGCACAGCAATGTCCCACAAACAGTCATAGATTGAAAATGACCAATTTATTATTGTTTTTAGTTTTTTGGAGGGATTATTATTAGGCGTGTGGAGTAAGGAAACTTGCCCAAGGTTTCGCCCTGCCTGGAATTGAACTCAGGTCTCTCACTTGCAAAGCGAGTGCTCTAACCACTGAGCTACAGGACTCCACTTTATTCTGCTGTGTGCAGCTGCCACAGGCGCCCCCAAAAACAGTCACTGCACTTTATAGTATAACCTGTGAAACATTTTGGAATGTCCTCCTGACATGAAAGTCCCTGTACCAAATACAAGTAGTGTTATTATTATGAACTGCAAGGATTAGTATTTATTATTTCTGCATCACAAGGGAAGCCTTTAAAAGACGGAAAATCTGAGAGCATTCTAAATTTGTTTTCAACACATAAGCAAGCTGCTATCAACGGTGGACGTGCATATTTAAACCAACACAAGCCTCAAATGAATATTACAGAATACCAGCTTCAGATGGTAACATTTTTATGGTTTGGCAGATCCCTTCACTATTTTAAATGATTTGATGCATGAATGCTGAGATTTAAAACGGAACCAATATAGAATTTATTACCATAGCAAACAAATAATTAGAGCACAACTCACAAATGATAAACAAGGAATGAATGGTGCGGTACTGCACCAAAGGGATGAGTCAGCTTGGCTCAGTTGATACCTCTGGATCTGAAGGTCACAAAAGCGAGTACACAGACTAAGCCGAAACTCCAGTGCAAAACTGAGGGAGAGTTGCATTGTTGATGGTGCGGTCTCGAAAATGAGATATTAAATCAATGTCCTGTCTGCCTGTTCAGTTGGGGATTAAAGATCCCATGACACCATTAAAAGATAAGAGAGGTTTTTCTGATGACCCAGCTGACAATCTTGTGGGACTTTGCTGTGTGCAAATGAACTGCCACACTTGTCTGCAAATAAGCAGTTTTTACGCCCAATAACCATTACCTGTGAAGCGCTTTGTTTTAGCGTTATAGGCGCTGCATCAAAAGTATTATTAAATGCACTGATTTTTTTTAAGTTTCTAAAAACACAAAGGAAGATAGCAGAGTGGATCACTCAATCTGGGAAAATGTTTTAAGAATTCAGAGTTGTGTTCTTCAACACGGTGCTTTATTAGGTTTTACATTTTAAAAAAAGCACGATTCTTGTGATGGGAAACTTTCTGACAACCTCAGAAACTGCCTTTGCAAGGAACTAGCTACTGAAATACTGTAACATTAGCCACTAGGAAACGCACAAACGCTGCGATTAGCAATATGATTGCTGCGCATTATAATATTTTTCTAAAAACATTGCACTTGATATATCGCCTTTCATGTCGGGAAGAAGTTTCAAAGAGCTTCATAGGATTTGCTGTTTTGCTGCAATGTTTAGTGACTTTGTATTTTCCAGGCAAACAAAATATAAATGTAAGCATTACTGATTCCATTCATTTTACTAACCCGGAAAAAATTGTCTTGATAGACCCTTAACCAGCAAAGAGGTCAAAGAGCACCCCCCCACACACACACACATACATACACCACAATGGAGCTGACATGCTTTTGGAAACCTTGTTTCATAATAGATTACAAGTACATAGATTCTCCAGAAGAACAGCACTGCTTATGGGGTGCTGGCCCATGTGTCAGAAAAGTAGGGCAATCAATAGAATGACTTTACATCAGGGGATGCAGAGACCTATTTTTACGCATTATTGCATCAGTGTTGGGTAATGCATTGTGACATTCTCGGCTGAGAACAAATTCATGCTGCACAGCTTGAAGGCTTTTGAACAAAGAGGCTGGAATCGTCCCAGTTATAAAGCAAACAATGAAGAAAATTCAGGCACCAGTGTGTCAGAGGGATTCCCATGGGTGGCAATGAAATTAAAAGCTTCTATTTGCTTGATAATGTGATGTACATAATATACCCGTTTCCCATGAGAAATGGGTACATTGGGTGATGATAATCCACCTCAGGTGATCTGTACCTATTCTCAGGTTCTGAACGTTATCTCTCAATAGGATACTTACACTCACACAAGTACACAGTATCATGAGGAACACAAGAGGCACTGGCTCACTTAGTGATTTGTGGATGTGCCAGGATTCCGGCAAACTTACATATGATAAGACCCTAAAAATGCTCAAATAATTAATGAATAATCCTTACATTTGGTATATCGCCTTTCACGTTGGGAGGATGTCCCAGGGTGCTGGGCAGTCCAACGTTTACACCTGAGTTGCGGGTGGGACCGAGGGGGTGGTGTGTGTGTGTGTGTGTTTGGGGGTGGGTGGGGGGGTATAGATGAGAAAGATGGCCAAAGCGTGGTCAAAGAGGAAGGTTTTGAGGCAGATCTTCAAGAAAGAGAGGGAATGGGTGAGTCAAGGGCTTCCAGGAAGGAGTTCAGCCATGAAATGAATTACATTTTTATTTGGGGTATTGTTGGCCAGGGCAGGATTTCACTTAAATGAAATCTCATCCACCTAACTTCTCAATTTCATATTGTTTTTGCCTCACACGGAACAAGTCAAGCAAGCAAGATGATAGTCAACAGATTTTTACTAGTCTACAGATTTTAAAATTGGTTACCAGTTGGTTTTGAGAATTCATAAGAGACAGCAATTTCTGTGCCTTTCAAACTGAAAATGAAAGCGTGGAGAGGCAAAGTGCACTCCACCCATGTGATGTGCTTTGCCGACCCTCTCCCACTCCTGACTGATCCACTCCACGTTATGCTGCTATTGTCCTGTGATTGATTAGTTTTTGGGTAGCGGAGACACAAAGGAGCTATAGTACCTTCAGCTATGGGAATGTTCAACTCTTCCTTTCAAAACTTTCAATTACATCATCTATTGAATCTAGCAAGAGGAGCTACCCACTAATCCTTAAACTTCCAATCCATTTGCTTCACATAATGAAACAAAGCACAGCATCAATCCAACGTTTCAAGCTGCCCAAAGCAGTTTTAACCTGGGCTGAGAGGCTGTGAGTTGACTGGCTGATGTAGTGCATTGAACAGTGTCCTTTCAGCTTAGGATCTGGTTGAAATTCAGCTCATTTTAGCAGTAGCACAACGCTTGGATCATCTGCTTTCCCAGTTGGCTAAGTATTCCACGTTTATTTCCTATTTGGAAAACTATTCCTATTTGGAAAACTATTCCAATTTGGATGTTCTCTTGGGGAAGGTAAATCCACAATGTGAATAGAACTTTTAAAACTTGACATCTGATTTGTTAAGCTTAGGGTAAATAGGCAAGATTGAATGAAATTCAATTCACCTGCTTGTACGTGACCTTTTACCAACGATAAGAATATTCTTGGCTTGGCATTAACACACCAACAGATGTGAGAGGGTTTGAGTGGATGATTTCACACTGAGTGCCTTTTCAATCTTTCACTCCATTTTCTCTGTGAAATAGCTAGTCAGTAAGTTCCTTCAGTATTGTAATGGGTAGAGGATAGTCAGTGCAGATGTTAAAACCTGAGAGATCCAAAGGGGGTAAGAAAGAATGAACAAACATGAGGATATAGCAAACATACAGTATTAAATAACAAAAACAACAAATTATATTTGCATAGCACCTTTCAAGTCGGGAGGACATCCCAAGGCGCTGCACAGTCAGGAATTTGGACAACTACTTCCTGGAGGTTGTTACCAGAGAGGACTTAAAAGTTTGCTGACCAACATTCAACAAACATTGTTTGAGCTGCAGTACCTTCACACAAGTGAGGTTGAGGTTCTAGATCAGCCCAAGGGGCTAAAATCCCAAAACATCCCCAGATAAAC